TGCAGTGAACCAGGGCTAGCCCTCGTCCTAGAGCCTCCCTGCAGGGGAGCAGGTGGTGCCAACGAGCCCGCCGCCCACCATGCTCCTGGTCACAGAGGAGCGCGCTTGGTGCCTTTTGGGAGAAGGAAGCCTTCTGGGAGGCAGTGCCAGCTTCCCAGGTGCCTCAGGGCCTCCAGTGGAGCCCCTCCCACAGTAAACACCTGGACCCTGCCTGTGAGACCAGTGGAAACTCTGTTCATGTTAAAGAAACACTAGAGTGCCCGAGTGTGGCGGGGCCTGGTTTGTCAGGCAGAGAGGGCGCAGGGTGTGGCCTGGGCCCCCATTCTGTTCCCTCTCCCCCTTGGTCCTGGGTGCTTTTGCACATGGACTGTGGAAGCAGCGCTGTCTTTACACGGCGTAACGTAATGCAGGCTAGGCGGCCGGGGTTAAAGGGTGAACCCTGGAGTGGCTCTGGAGCTGGATTTTGGAGGCCGCAGTGAATCCAGACAGAGGAAATTTTCATAACCTGAAATGTCTCCCAGGAGAACTCAGGTTCTTTTGTAAACAAGTTCGTGGATGCAGCCTTCCAGGTGTGAAGTGGGCGCCGGGTGCTGTCCGCAGACTCCTCCTTAGAGCGGGCAGCTCCTCCTCCAGGAGCTGCGGTCCGGTCGGGCACTCTAGCAGCAAGCACCCTGTCCCCAAGCCTCCTTACTGTGCGTTTCTTTCTCGCACATTCAAAGGGCAGCGTGGTCTGAAATGGTTTTCTTCTTGCTCAATGAGGGGGCCTTTAAAAAAGACATCTCTGATATAGTTTGTAGATTAAGTTATAAATGTTCACTTTAGAACCACCTGACGATTGATAAAGATGCATTTGAAAAGCATTATTTTTTTATTGATTCTTAATGTAGTAAATTACCAGCATTATTTGGCAGCAAACAGAAATGCCAATGGTGAGGTTCGCTTCTGCTCGCTTGATGGTGCCACAGTTTGCATTAATTCTACTCGACTGCACTCACTTATATTAAAAGGCTTCTATGATAATTAATCCTTTTTATTTCAGATCATTTTGGCACAATTTCTAGCTATAAACACTCATAAAAGACAGACGGTTGAAAAATCCGTTCCAGGCTTTTCCCCATACCTACCACTACTCCCCGAGGCAGGTGGTTATTGATGGCCGGGGAGCCAGCCTGGTCAGCTGGCTGCCGTGAAGGCCAAGATGAAAAATGCTAAGTGGATTCTTTGCATAAAAAATAGACAGTTTTTGAAGTTGTATAATTAACCTGTGTTTAGAAAATACCTTGATTTATGCTTACATTTGTATTGGTTGCATACATTATGGAAATTTAATTTATAATCCATTTAGCTGATGCAATCATAGTTTTTAGTACTATCATTTATTAGTGCTTGTATATTAAATGCTCTGAAGGTTTAAAGCTGCCTTCTGTAAAAAATTACACCTAAGCATTTACATTTTATGAGTCACAGTGGGATTCTGTTTAACATTCAGGTAGCTCGAATGTGTTTAATGAATTTCACTGGCTTATTGTTACTAATGCAGAAATGGCAAACAATGACCTTATGTATTGACCGGCTGATGATTTACACCTGCAGCTACTTCCAGTCCCTGGTACAGATGAGGCTTTCCTCAGCCCGGGGACAAGCTCGTTCCTGCAGAGTGGTCTCCATGGCTCTGCAGCCGTGGCCTGGATGTGGGGCCTAGGAGTGCTGCGGGTTTGTCTGAGCCACACGCCTCAGCAGACGGGTCTTCCCCCAGAGAACCACTCTGAGGCCTTGGTGGCCATCCGTAGTCTTAAGATCAGAAATACAAGTCTCAGCTGAGGGGACAGTGTGGAGTCCGGAACTGACAGATGTGTCGGAGCTCCTTGGCCACAGCCTGTCTGCAACCAGAAACGGTGTTACTCTAGGGCAAACTGCAGCTCGTGAGCCACATGCGGCTCTTTGGCTCTTCCACAAAATACCATGGCTGGGCAAGTCTATGTTGAAGAAGTGGCGTTAGAAGAAGTTTAAGTTTAAAAAATGTGGCTCTCAAAAGAAATTTCCATCGTTGTGCTGTTGATATTTGGCTCTGTTGACTAATGAGTTTGCCGACCACTGCTCTAGGGGGACGTTCGCCCGCTAGTTCAGGGTCCCGCAGTCCTGCTAGTGGGGAGGCGGACACGCAGGTCCTGGTCCATGTGAGCAGCTCCGGGGTCAGGGGAAGTGGGTAACTTTATCGACAGCTGCCTACCGTCCCTGTGTAGGAGCTGGCTGAGGTCACAGCTCACTCGGACCCAGATGGACGCTGAAGGTTGGAGGAGCCGCGCTGCAGCCGCATTAGTGAGTTCATACATGTCTGACTCACTGAGCTCGTGTTTCTTTTCATGTGTGTGGAAGGAAGAGTGACTTCTGACTTAGTCACGTTTTCATGGCGAAGGGTTACTCAGGACAAGTGCTGGTGGTAATGTTGGATTCTGTGTGCAGTGCAGTAGCATCCATCTTAAAGCAGCGGCCTGAAGTGTGCATACATCGCCACAACCCCACTCAGCAGACCTCACGCCATCCTTCCTAAGGCGGGGCTCGGGCACCCCTCACCCCCTCTGTCTGTCCTGGGGTCACTCCGTCTCAGGCAAGGGTCACGACTGCCCCCCAGACAGAGTTCATGATTACCTGAGTACAGAGCCCCGTTGACCAGGTGGGGTAGGACCCCCGTACCTCCTCTCAGCTGGCAGGTGGGGTATTAGAGGATCGTGGTGAATTCGTATCCTTCCTCCCCCCAACTCCCTCACCCCAAGTAAAGGCCTTTGTTGAGGAACCTGAGAGCCTGTGGGTCAGCAAGTGCAGCGAGGCAGCCTGGCACCTGCAGGCACTGCTGTGGCTCCCCAGTCAGTCCTCTTTCCAAGGGAATAATGAGAATGTCTGGAGATGGCGATGTTGCTGGTTCCTCGCACTCTGCAGCCGTGGGCACAGGAGCAGTCACCGTGCCAGGGGACCTGGCGCTGCACAGGAGAACTTGCAGCACCCTCCTTCCACCTGCTGTGCTAGAGGACCACATGTAATGTCACCCAGAACCGCAGGCCATCAGGGGGACAGATCACGCCACAGTGAGACCCACACCGCCAGGCCAGGGAAAGCCAGCGAGCACTGTGCTGGCCACGGGAGGAGGGACCAGAGGCCGCCTTCCCACGTTTACGTCGTGGGGACACACTCCTTGCATTTTCCAAAACAGCCTGTGACCCAGTACTTCCCCGTCCACAGACCTTCTCTTAGGTGCAAACTAAGGAGGTGTGAGAGCAGAGGCCCACGGAGGCCATGTTGGCTGTCACAGAGTTGCCTTCACCCCGGCCACCGCAGGGCAGCCACAGGCCGGGCCTGGTAAAAACTGTGCATGAGAAGACGGGCATGAAAAGTGCTGGGAAGTCCCGGTTATGAAGCTCTGCAACCGGCAAAACTCGCCTGTGGCGGGGACAGGATGGGCTGGGCCTGGGGGTGTTGCCTGGAGAGTGAGGGGCTCGTGTATGGGAGGTGTGGGGATGTTCTGTATTTTAGTTGGAGAGGTCTTTACACAGCTGTCTTCAGTTGTACTTTTTACTATATATCATATACTTGACTATAAATAGATGCAAAAACAATTTCACCTGCAATCCTTAGACATAAAGGTGGACAGTAACTTAAGAGTGAAAACCTCATAGGTCTGGCATCAGGGGAAGTGAGTTTTGGTACCAGTTTTGCCACCTGCTAACTCATACCATCTGGACAGTCCCCCGTCCTAGGGCCTGTCTCCTTCACCTGAGACAGGTGGGCAAGGACAGCCTGGCCACTCAGCCTGCCCCCTGCTCATGTGGTGTGCTGAGAGAGCCTCTCCATTCGGTGGCTGAGAAGCAAATCTCATGAAGAATAGTGTTCAGTGGGAAGTTACATGACTCCAGCCTCAGTGCCCAGGTGCCCTCCCTCGTCCTCACACCGTGCCCTTCTGTGCTCCAAAGGTACGGGGGGTGAAGGGGAGTGAGGCAGTTGAATTGTGCCTCCTTTCCCCCGAAAGAAAAACTCAAGCCCTAACCCCTGTACCTGTGAAGGTGACCTCACTGTGTAGTCAAGCTCAGATGAGGTGCCTGGCACCTTTACAAGAGCAGGGGGTGGGGGTGGGGTGGGGGGTCCAAACAGCCCTGGGGAGAGGCAGAGGTGGATGGGCAGCTACTAGCCCGGCTTCGCTGAGGATACCAGCAAGCCCAGAAGCTGGGAGAGGCAGGAGAGGGTCTTGCCCTGAGCCTCCAGGGCCCAGGGTGGCCCTGAGACCCTTGGCTGTGGGCTTCTGGCCTCCAGACCTGTGGGCAGGCCCTTTCTGCTGTTTGTGGTGCTTCGTTGTGGCAACCTTAGGGGAGCAGTACCCCTGCAGAGCCCTTTCCAGAAACGCTCACCAGCCCCTGGCGGCAGGGGAGTTTGGCTCTTCTTTTCTTTTTTTTCTTTTTTTTTTTAGCGAGAGAGAGAGAGAAGCATTATGTGAGAGCAAAGCACCGGCGGGCTGCCTGCTATGCACACCCCCTACAACCTTTTGGGGCAGGGATGACACCCAACCAACTGAGCCACATCAGCCAGGGCTCGGTTGGAGCAGTGTCCCATACACTAAAACAGGTGCAGGTTCCATTTCTCGGCAGGACACATACCTAGGTTTCAGATTCCATCCCGTCATGCAACCCACTGGAGGCAACAGATTGATGTTTCTCGCTCCCTCTCCCTTCCTCTCTAAAATCAATAAATATATCCTTGGGTGAGAATTAAAAATTTAAAGCTCCCCATTGGTATTAACATTCTGTGATTTCAGCCTTAAAGTTCTTTGATGGTCTGTTCTAGAATTGTTGACGTACTGAATGCAGGCATTGAATGCTTGGAATGTGGGCTGGCCCCTGGTAAATTAACCGCTCACCAAGTAGCATGTCTTAGGAGCCTGTTACATAGCAGTTGGACATGCGTGTTTGTTTTAGAACCCATGAAGCTGACTGCTGTCCCTCGTCCCGTTGCAGGCTCTCTACGAAAACATGCTGGTGGAGCTGCCCTTTGCGGGCTTCTTCCTGTCCAAGCTGCTGGGCACCAGTGCCGACGTGGACATCCACCACCTGGCCTCCCTGGACCCGGAGGTTTACCGGAACCTGCTGTTCCTCAAGAGCTACGGGGGCGACGTGGAGGAGCTGGGGCTGAACTTCACTGTGGTGAACAACGACCTCGGGGAGGCCCAGGTACGGCGGGCCGGAGGCTTCTGCTCTGTTGGGCAGGTGCCAGCATGCCCAGGGTTCACACGCAGGCAGGTCCAGTGGCCGAAGGACTTCCAAGTCACATGCATTACCGTCCCTCATTCTGTTAGATTTCAGGTCACCTCAGGGCTTCTCTAAGTTTCGTTTGGTATTCAGACAAATGTGTCTCCAGGCAAGAGGCATTTGGCTGTTACTATGTCGATCCATAGTCTTCTGAATCTAGCGGTTGTGTCTTAACAATAACATGGTGGTTTTGCAATGTTTTCTCTGAATCTTCGTTGTGACGTGACTTCCGATTCAAGCCTCAAAGGTCAGTGGCTTTGCCAGTGTGAACGCAGCTGCGTGGTGAATAAGCTTGGTGTTGTGTGGACTCACGTTGCAAAGGCATCGCCCACACAGGTCCTCCTTCACCCCCACTCCTGGCCTGGCACACCTCACACACGTTTTCATTCTTTCCGTATCCTGTCACCTCCATGCACTGGGCGTGGCTTTGTGTCCTCATTCCCTTGTGGGACATGCACGGCGCTCTGTGTGCCGGCCTCTGTACTGCAGGAAGTGGCCTGTGGGAGCACCAGTGCCAGCAAGGGCAGGTGTCTGGGGTGAGACAGCACTCAGGGGAGCCCTGCGGAGTTCAGGACCACACTCCGCATGAGTCACCCGGTGGGTGAGCAGAGCTAGAGGGTGCAGCAGGTGGGGAGGTTGGTGCCAGGCCTGTGGTCCGTGGAGAAGCACTGAAGGCCATCAGCTTAGAACTCCTGCAGTATGCCTGGGCCTGGGTGAGACTCAGAAAGGCCAGTGTGGTCTGCAGACCGAAGGGTCATGGGTTCAATTCCCAGTCGAGGGCATGCACCTCAGTTGCAGTTTCGATCCCTGGGCCCAGTTAGAGCCTGTGAGAGGCAACCAATCAACATGTCTCTCTCTCACTTAAATCCACCTCTTTCCCTCTCTCTCCCTGCCCCTCCTCCCTCCCACTCTGTCTGAAAAATCGATGGAAAAATCCTAAGGTGAGAAGTAACAACAACAACAAAAAGAGCAGCCAGTGTTCCCTCTTCAGCTGCTGGGGGTCGGGCTGGGTATGTGACAGTCAGGGAGCACGGGGACACAGCTCCGGTAGAGGTCAGGGCGAGGTCTGGAAGTGGTCCCCGAGTCAGAGGCTGTGACTTCCACTGCGATCTTTATTTGACATTATGTTCCGTAGGTCAGGGTCTTGAACTATGTGTCAGAGGGGTGAGCAGGCAGGATCTGGTAACTAACTGCACAGTCCCTGGCCCTGCTGCCCACGGCCTGCCTCTGAACCTGACTCTCGGAGCCCCTCACCCCGCTGGAATCACACAGCATTTGTCCTTTGGTGACAGGTTCTCACTGAGCACATGTCCTCTAGGTTCTCCAATGGGCATCAGCTGTCACAGGAGTCAGGGCTGTGCCACTGGGAACATGGCTGCATGAATGCTTCCCAGGTCCTGGGCAGGTGGCAATGCTAGAGGGCCCTGTGCTTGCCATATCCCGGTCAGCGCCTTGTTTCTTCTCTCTCAAATGACAGCCATGCTGAGGGTTGGAGCCTCTCGCTCCCTCGGGAAATGAGCAACTCCTATCTTTACATTGGCTTCCTCCCTTGGCGCAGAATCCTACTCGGGTTTGTGCGCGCCAGAATGATGCCTTCAACACTGAACTAAAAGACACATGGAGCCTTCTCTGCCCCTCCTCATTCCTTAGGGGGAAACACACAAAACAAAATGGTGGCCATCTACAAGCCAAGAGAAGAAGCCTTGGGCTGAAACCTTTGGCTGACACATTTCGCTTGGACTTCCCAACCTCGAGCATGGGCAGATCTTTAGCAGTTAACCCTAAACACTAAATTACAACAAAAACTTAAGACAAGATAACCTAGAGAGAGAAACCAAGATGGCGGCATAAGTAAACACCTGACTGTTGCTTTGCACAACAATTTCAAAACTACAACTAAAAAGACAAAACGGACATCATCCAGACCCACAGGAAGGCTGACTGAGAGGAAATTCTACAACTAAAAGGAAAGATAAGAGCACACAGTAGCTGCAGAAGGCAGAGGCTCCTAATTTCCATGACCAGAAGATACTGTAGCTACCCATGACATACTACCTAGTACTTTTTTGCAAATGAATCATAGGAAATCTGGCTGAGTGGAAGTTCTACAACTAGAAGGAAAGAGAAAAGAGCACTAGTGCTGAAAAGCTGAGAGGTGCGCCCAGTAATCACTGTTTACTGCGCAGTATTCGGGGACTTGGAAACACGGAAAGGCAGAGAAGGCTGACTTGTAGCCATCGCTGTTTGACATGCCCTAGCCTAGTGAGGATCTGAGACACCATCCTGCACAATCTATAAGCACACCCAAGCTCTGCGCAGCAGCTTTTGCATATAAATGGCCTGCCCTGTTGCAGCTTAGCCAAATAAACTACAGCTCTAGTCAGACAGCTCCAAAACCTCCAAATCCCAAGCAAAGAGGAGAAAACTGTAGTTCTCGCTGTAGCTCCTGCTGGGTGGCCTCAGACAGTAGCTGACCTGCACCCCATTGGGATCCAGAAGCCAGTGTATCTAGTAGTCTGTGTGAGACACCATCTGATTTCAACTACTCTCATAAAGGACACATTCAAGAGGCAGACTCAGTGAGCAGCAAAGCCCCTCTGGAACAAGTCCTGCCCCATAAACGTGTCTCCAGCACAGCAATTCTTCCATTGTAGACACAGTGGGCCCTCACAGCCAATTGGCCTGGAGGTCAATTCCTAACAGTGACACCAACAACAATCAAGACTTAACTACAAGGCTGTACACACAGTCCACAAAGGGTTGCACCAATTGTTCACCTCAAAGTAACTGGGAGGCTGACCCATTGAACCATATAGGACAACTAGCACACAAAGCCATCCTACCAACTCAGGGAAGCAGCGAAAATGAGACAAGGAAACAGATCACAAATTAAAGAAATGGAGGAGAACAAAAGACAGGATATAGAGTTCAAAACCACGATTATAAGGTTTTTCAATAATTTCCTAGAAAAGACCAATAAATTTAATGAGACTCTCGAGGATATGAAAAAGGACCAATTAGAAATTAAACATACACTGACTGAAATAAAAAATATTATACAGAGATCCAACAGCAGACTAGAGGATCCCAAGAATGAAGTCAAAGATTTGAAATACAAAGAAGCAAAGAACAATCAATCAGAAAAGAAAAAAGAATCCAAAAAAATGAAGATAGTGTAAGAAGCCTCTGGGACAACTTCAAGTACCAACATCAGAATTATGGGGGTGCCAGAAGAAGAGAGAGAGCAAGATACTGAAAACCTGTTTGAAGAAATAATGACTGAAAATTTCCCCCACCTGATGAAAGAAATAGACTTAGAAGTCCAGGAAGCGCACAGAACACCAAACAAAAGGAATCCAAAGAGGACCACACCAAGACACATCATAATTAAAATGCCAAGGGCAAAAGACAAATTGAGAATCTTACAAGCAGCAAGAGAAAACTGGTTAGTTACCTACAAGGAAGCACCCATATGATTATCAGCTGATTTCTCAACAGAAACTATGCAGGCCTGACGAGAGTAGCTAGAAATATACAAAGTGATGAGTAGCAAGAACCTACAACCAAGATTACTCTACCTAGCAAATTATCATTCAGAATTGAAGGTCAGATAAAAAGCTTCACAGATAAGAAAAAGCTAAAGGAGTTCATCACCACCAAATAGTATTATATGAAATGCTGAAAGGTATTCTTTAAGAAGAGGAAGAAGAAGAAAAAAGTAGAGATAAAAATTATGAACAACACATACTATCAACAAGTAAATCTAAAAATCAAGTGAATTAAAAATCTGAGGAACAGAATAAACTGGTGAATATAATAGAATCAAGGGGAAAGGGTTGGGGGGGGGGGTATGGAAAGAGGCTTGACTAAAATCATACACCTATGGATGAGGACAATGGTGGGGAGGTAAGGGCAAAGGATGGAGTGGGAATTGGGTGGAGGGGAGCTATGGGGGGGAATGGAGAAACAATTGCAATAATCTGAACAATAAAGATTTATTAAATTTAAATAAAATATAAAATAAAATAAATATATAAAAATAGAGAACACACATGGAGATTTACACATTTCAGTGTCTAAACTTCCGGGGGGTGGGGGGGAAGACGGGGAGGGCGGTTTTAAAGGATCATCTTTGTGGTACCTGATTTCCAATGTGTCTCTTAGCCTACTGGTATTGCAGAAGTGGGTATGGATTAAAGCCCAAGCAGGAATACCGGAAATAGTGCTGCCACGGCCTCCCCTTCCCGCCACACAGTTGCTCATCTTGCGGCAGTGTGGGGAACAGTCCCCAGCACTGTAAGAAAAAGTAAGGGTGAGGAAGACAGAGCTGTTTCTTATTTCTGTTGTTGCAACTTGGTTGCTTTAGTTTTTTTTTCTTCCGTACCATAAAGCTGCATTTCCAACAATGCGGCATCCAGGTGTTTTTTAAAGGTGAGATTTGTGAAGGCCTAAGGACATTTGGACACTGGGCTGCTACTCCCCCTGAGGGTGACTCAACTGGGCACAGAAGCCTTAGGGCAGTAGGAGGCCTGCTAATGGGAGGGAGCAGCTCCCGCTTCTCCTTCTGAAGTAGGTGGTGGTGGGGGCATCCCATTAAAGCGCTGGGAGCTGGGTGTGTTCACAGCCAAGGTGGCAGTAAGATGTTCCAGTTACTCATGGAAATTCCCCAAAGAGATTATAGATGATAGTGCACAAGAATAATTACACTGACGCATCTAACTGGGAAGTTTAAGGAAGTCACTGGTAAAGCCCCTGCCTGGGGGAGCGCCCAGAGCAGCTGCTGGCTCAGAGGTGAGCTGTCCTGAAGGCTCAGCTTTGCTAATCTGTCTTCCCTTTAGGACAATAGCTCTGCTCTTACACATTTTCTGCCGTATGGTCAGCATGGCTGACTGTTGGCATGCATAAAAAGGAGTGTGGAATTTCACTTCTTTACACACACCTCCCTGCGGAAGTGCTCAGGCTTTACTACGATGGGCCCGTGTTTGTGTAGAAAAACATGGGCTTGAGTTAGGAGTCCTTGGTGGTAGTGACCTTGGGCCAGTCAGAGGCTGTCCTCAAGCTCAGGGGTTGGAGCTGCTCTGGGGATGGGGATAGGAGAGCCCAGGATGGCGGAAGAGCCCAGCCTCTGAGCCACTGCAAAATGCAGTGTCTGTGGAGCTTGGCAGGCTCCACATTCAGGCGACATGCCCCACAACACGAACATCTCGGGGCAAGTGTGACAATGTTAATGTTACGCCCAGACTTCGTGATCCCCAAGGACCACCAGGGATGGTGATACGATGCAATAAACAAAAGAGCCTCTTCCATGCTAGCATGGGCTCTGTCCCACTCACTCCCGCAGCATGGCGGAAGAGAGCGAATTTCGCCAAGCCCTGGGGTTTTACTCCGGTGGTGATGTCACTGCTTTGGCTGATCCTGATTGGTCTAGGGTCCAGTTAATGGAGGATAACTCCGCCCCGCCCCACAGTGGAATCAGGAGTTTTATTCTCACCCCGCCCTGCCCTCTCATTAACCCTACTTAGTTGTTTAGCCTGAGAGTTGCAGGGTCCTCTAGTTTCTAAATGAAAGGGCCATGGTTGCTGTCGCCTCAGTCCTCAGTGCTGTGAAGACAGCAGGGTGGTCAGTGACCTTGAATCTGGGCTGAGACGCACATGAGACGCCTGGGCCCGCAGTCACATGTGGGGTTCCAGGTGCATGCTGCTGTTTAGACCCGCTTACCGGCAGCGCCAGCCGTTTCCATGGAAGTGTTCTGTCTGGTTCTTGGGTGTGAATGCTGAGCCCTTGTTTTAATGTTCACAGGTAGTAGAACTGAAATTCGGCGGGAAGGATATCCCTGTCACCAGTGCGAACCGGATCGCGTACATCCACCTGGTGGCCGACTACAGGCTGAACAGGCAGATCCGCCAGCACTGCCTGGCCTTCCGGCAGGGCCTGGCCAACGTGGTCAACTTGGAGTGGCTGCGCATGTTCGACCAGCAAGAGATTCAGGTCCGTGCCCGCGGGCACCTGGGCATTGGGCCTGGCATAACATGGCTTTCCGCACACCAGCCTCCTGGTTTATGAATTACTTTTTTGTTTCAGGTACTGATTTCTGGTGCACAAGTTCCCATAAGTCTAGAGGACCTGAAGTCCTTTACCAACTACTCAGGTACGTTACCGCCACGCGCTGTTTATTCCTGGAACTGTCCCCAGTGCCCATGTTGCACGGTGGTTTTCAGTGTACATTTTTTGTAGCTCACACATTTTTAACAATGTGGGTTTCAAACCCAGAGTGTATAGCGGGCCCACCGCGACGTTTCTCCATTCCCCTCCTGCCGTGAGTTATGACTCTTCTTGGTGCCTTTGTGTGTTTACGTGCAGATTCCATTCCATTCCCCTCGTCCTTACACACTGCTCTGCGTCGTGTGGGCTTTCCTCCTCACCGCCTGTCCTCTTAGCTCTACTCACGGGTATTGGGCACTTCTAGGCTTTTCCTCTTCAGAACTGTGCTAGCCCAAAACCCTCCAGCAAGAAAAGAAAAACAAAAAATTGGGCCTTGTTGGAATCTCTATTTTTATTAAATTAAACTTAAATGTTACTGCCTTTCAAGAAAGTGAGAAACCAAAAAGAAGATAAACAAATGGCCAATAAGCACATTGAAAGATGCTCAACAATCTTCGTCATCAAACTAAAGCCACAGGAGGCTGTTCAGAGAGGGAGTTGGTGGCCTTTGGGCATTTGTAAATTTTTTTAAATTAGCCTCGGCATGCCCAGCCATGTGGCTCTGTTGAGCATCATTCCGTGCACCATGCGCGCTCCAGTTTCATTCCTGGCTGGGGCACATGCTGGGGTTGCAGGCTTATCTCCAGTAAGGAGTGTGCAGGAGGCAACTGACACATGTTTCTCACTCAGTGGTTTCAATTTCTCTTTCCCTCTCCCTTCCTCTCTCTGAGTCAATAAAAACATGTTTGTTGGTTTTTTAAATTAACTCCATGGTCCTAGCGGGTTTGGCTCACGGACTAAAAGGTTGTGGTCCCATTCCAGTCAAGGGCACCTTCCTCCGTGGCAGGCTCAATCCCCGTCTGCAGTTGGAGTGAAGGAGGCAGTGATGGAGACAACCAATCGATGTGTCTCTCTCACATCGTTTTTATCAGTGTGTCCCTTCCTTTCACTTGCATTGTCTCTAAAAAAATCAAAGGAAAAAATATCCTTGGGTGAAGATTAACAATAACAACAAAAATTTAACCTCATGGACCTGGCCAGTTTTCACTCAGTGGTTAGAACATCGGCCCAAGGACCATAGGGTCATGAGTTTGATTCCCTGTCAAGGGCACTTAACCTCCGTTGCAGATTCCCCAGCCCTTGGGGAGACAACCAATCAATGTATCTCTCCCTCTCCCTTCCTCTCTGAAATCAATTTAAAAAAATTTTTTTTAAAATATATTTTATTGATTTTTCACAGAGGAAGGGAGAGAGATAGAGAGCTAGAAACATCGATGAGAGAGATACATCGACCAGCTGCATCCTGCACACATCCCTACCACGGATGTGCCCACAACCAATGTACATGCCCTTGACCGGAATTGAACCTGGGACCTTTAGGTCCGCAGGCTGACGCTCTATCCACTGAGCCAAACCGGTTTCGGCAAAAAATTTTTTAATGATTGCAGTTGTGAGCCACTGCAACTGCCTTTACCGTGTGCATGAACACTTAAAGTATTTCATCTATCAGAAAATAGATGTCTTATGACCACTTAGATTCAACTTATTAAAGTTGAATAAGATAAAAGTAAATATAAGTGGTTCTGAGATTTGAAATCATTTTTGCTTCTTTAAAATTTTGTTTCCCTTTCTCTATTCTCTGATTATACACTGGGCATAATTTACTTTTTATTTTTATTTTTTGATAGATTTTATTGATTTTTTTTACAGAGAGGAAGAGAGAAGGATAGTTAGAAACATTGATGAGAGAGAAACGTCAGTCAGCTGCCTCCTGTACACCTCCCACTGGGGATGTGTCTGCAACCAAGGTACACACAACCCCGACTGGAATCGAACCTGCAATCTTTCACTTCTCAGGCCAACGCTCTATCCACTGAGCCAAACTGGTTAAGGTATAATTTACTTTTTAAAATCAAGAAAGTTTTTAATCCATTTCAGTTTTATAAAATGGTAGTGGTCATTTATAAGTAATGAAATTACAGGTGATTTTTCTTCATTGTACTTTTTTTTCTATTTTATTTATTGTATTCATTGCTTAATTTTAGAGGGGGAAAAAACAAAACAAAAATTGATTTGTTTTCCACTTATTTATGCATTCATTGGTTAATTCTTATATGTTCCTTGACCAGGGATTGAACTGAGAACCTTAATGTATGGGCATGATGCTTTAACCAACTGAGCTACCCAGCCTGGGCTTTTTGTAAGCATGCCTGGCTGGTGTGGCTCAGTGGTTGAGTGTTGACCCAAGAACCAATAGGTCATAGTTCGATTCCCAATCAGGACACATGCCTGGATTTCTGGCTCCAGCCCCTACTGGGGGGCGTATAGAAAGCAGCCGATCAGTGATTCTCATCATTGATTTCTAATAAAATATATATTTTATTGATTTTTTACAGAGAGGAAGAAAGAGGGATAAAGAGTTAGAAAGATCAATGAGAGAGAATCATCCGTCAGCTGCCTCTTGCACACCCCCTACTGGGGATGTGCCCGCAACCAAGGTACATGCCCTTGTCCAGAATCAAACCTGGGACCTTTCAGTCCACAGGCTGATGCTCTATCCACTGAGCCAAACCAGTTTCAGCTCATCTTTGATATTTCTATCTCTCCCTCTCCTTTCCTCTCTCTGAAATAAATAAAAACATTTTTTTAAAAAGAATAATATTTTAGCCATAGAAGCATATCCTGTGTGGTCCTGAGAGGCATGGTGGAGTGAGGAGGATTTTTCTCCACAAAGAGCACTATTAGTGTGATATCAAAGGCAGAGAAAATATACAAATCTTGTAATATAGAAACCCACACCTGAAACCTATATGTTCATGTTGACCAATGTCACCTCAATCAGTTTTAATAAATAAAAACATTTTTTAAAAAGGAAATTCTAAATTAATGTCCCTCATGAACATAGATTTTTTTTTTAAATCCTCAAAATATTAGCAAACTGAATCCAGCAGCACATAAAAAATGATTAAATCAAAGAGTACTTATCCCCTGGATATCAGGTTAACTTAGCATCTGAAAATGTATTGATATATTGGTAACATAATGGACAAAACCCATATCATCATCGCAATGGATGCAAAGAAAAAGAAAAAAGTAGTTGCAGCTTTTGAGCATCTTAGCCTCTCCTCCCAGGAAAAAAATTTCAGGAAAAGGACTAGAAGGGATCTTCCTAAACCTGGTACAGGACATTGTGAAAAACTCACCACTGCCATCCTGCGGTGGCGTGGTGGGAGCCGAACGCTCCGCCCGAAGCAAAGATCCTTGCTCTTTTACCTTTACTCAACATGTGCTGGGGGTCCTAGCTAGTACAGTGGGTGATCCAGGTGGGCAGGAAGGCGGGTGGGCAAGTGGAAGGGACGGGGAGGAGGGAGGAAAGGAACCTCCAGCTTGGAAAAGAGAAGCGAAAGGAGTAAACCCACACAGATGAGTGACCAGAGAAAGGCATGGGAGCTGAGAGCAAGGCCAGGAGGCTGTAGTGTAGATCCGTGTGCAGGGAGCAATTCTATTCTGATGGACAATTGTATGCAAAGGAGCATCAAAAATGAATAAAATAGAAGTTAGCAAAGTATATGCTGACTTATACATGGTTTACAGGAGACTTAAATGAATGGGGGACAGTCCATTCTCGGATTGGAAGACTCAGAGTTGTCGAGATGCAGTTCTTGCAAATTAATTACAAATTAATGCGATCCCTATCAAATCTCAGCAGCTCACCTATTGTACGTGGAGATGTAAAGGGCCTGAAGCAGCCTAAGCAGTTGTGTCCGGCAGAGTTGAAGCCCCATGGCGGTGCTGGCCAGGGACCCGCACTGACCGTCAGTGGGACCATCCTGGAGCTCAGAGCAGATCTTCCTGACATTCTCGTTTGATGTTTGCCTGTCTGATGATGCAAAGATAATATCATGTAGAAAAGTGTGAACGTAGACCTTTCCTCACATGTGTAGAGACACAACCGGATCGCGGACCTCTGTGGAAGCCTCTAAAACACTGAAGAAGGTCTCCCTGACTTGGATTAGGCAAGATGTGCACCAGAGCGCAGCCCAGAGAAATGCAGTGGGATTGGAGTTTTTCAACATGAACGCCTGGAAGCTTAAAAGTTGCCTCGGAAATGGAAAAGCAGGCTGGCTTGTGAGAGCCCGTTCTAAGCATACCCATGCAGGACGTGGCCACCGCGCAGGTGGTCGGTGGTTCCCAGAACCTAGACCCAGAACTGCCGTGCTAGCCTGCACTCCGCTCCTAGTGTGCTCCCCGGGCAGGCGTGTGCACTGTTCCCAATAGGCCAAGACGGAAGCAGCCCCGACGACCCCTGTGGACAGACAGCATGGTCTGTGCACACAGTGGAGAGGACTGTCTTACAAGGAAATGAAGTTCAAATACATGTTCCAACATGAGAGACCTTGGAAACATTATGCCAAGGGAAAGAAGCCGCAGGCACCAAAGGACATGGCGCCTAGGACCGGCACGTTGTGAGAGCCTGGGAGTGGGCGGGAGGGCCGGGCCGGGAGGGCTGGCTGGAAAGAGCAGCCCCGGTGCCCAGCACCAGCTGTGTGAGTGCCCCAGAGCTGGGCACAGAGGGCCTCCGTGGAGGTAGTACGTTGTCTTACCGCAGCTTTTAAAGCGAAAGCAGCTTGTCACCTCTGCTTCTGTTCTGAGTGCCGCTTGGGCCTTCCTTCCTCAGGCTCACTCGACAGGTTTTGGGAGTGGACTATCGTCTTGCAGGAAGAATTCCGTGTAAAGTATCCATGAGGACACGCGTGGGGTTCCTGGAAATGTCCTAAAGCGGGGCTGTGTAGATGGCTGCAAACTATCAATTTGCTAAAATCATTTATATAAATAGGTCACGTGTTTATTTCATGTATGTACATGTAAATGTGTGCATGTGTCTTCCCACTGATCTGAACTTGAACTCTCCTGTGTGTGTAAAGGAGATAATCTGAGGGCGCATGGCCCCCACTCGGATCCTGAGTCTAAAGGAGCCAGGTCAGCCTCTCCCCCGCCAGGAAGTACAGCCCCTTCTACCCAGCTCACTCCCTCGCTGATGGCAGCTGTGCCAGTGAATGGGGTTAAAATAGCATCCTATTCATGTCAGTGCCAATTTATGCACTTATGGTATTTTATTGATGTTATTTCTGTAGTATATTAACAATGAGGGAACAATATAAGGCAATTACTTCTGTTTTAGGAGGCACTTAAGCAGATTAAGAGCTGTAAGTAGCAGACGTTCCAGTTTAGAATAGTGGCTGATTGTCGGCCACAGGTGATAAAGCGAGTGGACGCTGACATCAGGCGGGAGAACAGCGCCCTGTCACAGAAAAGCCCAGGCCTTCCCTGCAGCGGGCCACCTTCCTGCAGCTCCTGTCACTCAGGCTGCTCCTGCGGGCTGCGAGGGCACTCCCTGCAGGGCTCCCGGAGCTCAGCCCCCGTGGGCCTGAGAGGTGCTGCCACCACCATGTGGGGACGTGTGGCGCCCTGTGGTAGGGCCCTGGGACCCCTACGCACCGCTGCTCTTTCATATAACGTGTCACTTTTTAGGGGGCTATTCCGCCGACCACCCTGTGATCCGAGCCTTCTGGCGCGTCGTGGAGGGCTTCACCGACGAGGAGAAGCGCAAACTGCTCAAGTTCGTCACCAGCTGCTCCCGGCCCCCTCTCCTGGGGTTTAAGGTACTGCTTTGTGCATTTGCTTTAAGACCCCTTGAGACTGAGAAAGGCCGTGGGGTGCCACGTGGGCTCTGGCACAGGCACTTGGAGTCAGGGAAATGGCGTTGGTGTACAGTGTCTGGTGGCACCCGGCGTATCACCTTGTGCTACGTCAGGAGCACTGTCCACGCGGTGTTCCAGCCACGTCCACTGGGGCTCCGTGTCCCCGTGTCCCGCGGAGCCTGCGGGTGGTCCGGTGAGCACAGTGGCTGTGAGCCCGCCGGCACACCCGCCAGCACTGCACTGGCTGTCACAGCTGCTGCCTCCAGGTCTGTCGTGCGTCCTGGGCTATTTGCAGCCCGGCTGAGGGAGGCAGGGTGAACGTGGAGGCTCTGTCTGGGGAGAAGGTGTGCGAGCAGAAGCACATGGTTCCCAGTGGACACCTGTAGAATGTTTATAAGAGCTGGGCAGAGGGCACGGACCACAGTTAGCAGTGCTTAACGTTGGCATCCTTGTCTAGCGTCTGTGTTTCTGTCCTGACCTGTCTGAGGGTAAATAGAGGAAGTGCCTTTCCTGCTCGTCCTGTAAAACACAAGCCCCTTCCGAGCACAGCTGAGTGGTCAGAGGAAGAGGGGGCGTGGCAGCCCTCCCCTCGCTCCTGTCAGCCTCGTCCTCCTGCGGGCTGTGAGGAGGCACTCTGTGAGGGGTTAGGGAGGGGAGGCACGCAGCACGAGACACACGTCCCAGAAACGGGTTCACATTCAGCCACAGGACAGACACCTGCGGGTCACCACGGCGACGGCCAGAGAACAGGCTTGGGGAGCCACTGTGCCGACAACCCCCGGGCCGGGAGCATGCCCCCCTCAGTGGTGGGTCTGGAGCGTGGGCACTCGGGCGGGGAAAGGGGGGGAGGTGGTGCTGTGGTGGGACCTGGAGCGCAGGACAGACCAAATGAAACGTGCATGTGCAGATAAGGGGCTAATGAAAGGGTTTCAGTGGAACCGTTTCTCATCCAGTGACACAAACGGCGGCGACAATTAAATTCTTGTGCACGAAGGTTTACATGTCATTGGTAATGTTTTTAAAAATATTTTTATTGATTTCAGAGAGGAAGGGGGTTGGTGGGGAGAGAGAGAAACATCCATGATGATAGAGAATCATTGATGGGCTGCCTCCTGCACGCACCTCACTGGGGACTGAGCACCACAACCCAGGCATGTGCCCTGACCAAGAATCACACCGTGACCTCCTGGTTCCTAGGTCAACGCTCAACCACTGAGCCACACCAGCCGGGCTGCCATCCAGTAAGTTTGTCGGTAAAGTTTTTTTGTTTTGTTTTGTTTTTTAATATATTTTATTGATTTTTTTTTTTTTTTTTTACAGAGAGGAAGGGAAAGGGATAGAGAATTAGAAACATCGATCAGCTGCCTCCTGCACCTCTTGTATTGGGAATGTGCCCACAACCAAGGAACATGCCCTTGACCAGAATCAAACCTGGGAACTTTCTTTTTTTCTTTTTTTAATATATTTTATTGATTTTTTACAGAATGGAAGGGAGAGGGATAGAGAGTTAGAAACATCGATGAGAGAGAAACATCGATCAGCTGCCTCTTACTCCCCACTGGAGATGTGCCCGCAACCAAGGTACATACCCCCAACCTGAATCGAACCAGGACCCTTCAGTCCACAGGCCAACACTCTATCCCCTGAGACAAACTGGTTAGGGCTGTCAGTAAAAAATGTTTTAATTTTTTTTTAATTTTTATAGTTCAGATTATTACAGATGTCCCTCTTTTTTCCCCCATAGCTACCCTTTACCCAATTCCCACCCCACCCCAGGCCCTTGCCGCCACCACTCCTCCTCCTCCTCCTCCTCCTCCTCCTCCTCCTCCTCCTCCTCCTCCTCTTCCTCCTCTTTCTCTCTCCTCCCCCCCCCCCCCCCCCAGGATTTCATATAATACTGGTTTGGCGGTGTGAACTCCTTTAGCTTTTTCTTGTCTGTGAAGCTCTTTATCTGACCTTCAATTCTGAATGATAGCTCTGCTGGGTAGAGTAATCTTGGTTGTAGGTTCTTGCTGTTCATCACTTTTAATATTTTTTGCCACTTCCTGCTGGCCTGAAAAGTTTCTGTTGAGAAATCAGCTGATCATCACATAAGTGCTCCCTTGTAGGTAACTAACTGTTTTTCTCTTGCTGCTTGTAAGATTCTCTCTTTGTCTTTTGCCCTTGGCATTTTAATTATGATGTGTCTTGGTGTGTTCCTCTTTAGATTCCTTTTGTTTGGGGTTCTGTGTGCTTCCTGGACTTGTAAGTCTATTCCTTCACTAGTTAGGGAAATTTTTCTGTCATTTTTTCAGATAGGTTTTTAATATCTTGCTCTGTCTCTTCTTCTGGCACCCTCATAATTTGGATGTTGGTATGTTTGAAGTTGTCCCAGAGGCTCCTTAACAGTATCTTCATATTTTTGGATTCTTTTTTCTTTTTTGTTTTTCTGGTTGTATATTTTGTGCTTCCTCATATTTCAAATCTTTGGACTTGATTCTTGGGATCCTCTAGTCTGCTGTTGGATCTCTGTTTATTATTCTTTATTTCAGTCAGTATATGCTTAATTTCTGACTGGTCCTTTTCCAGTGTTTTGGCATTTTCACTAAGAACCTTGAAGGTCTCACTAAGGTCACAGAGGTTTCTAAAAGATTCTTGAGTAACCTTATAACTGTGGTTTGAACTCTATATCCAGTAGCTTTCTTTCTTTCATTTCTTTCATTTGTGACATGTTTCTTTGTCTCCGAATTTTGGCTGCTTCCCTGTGTTTGTTTCTACAATATGTACTGGGTAGCTGCTAAGTCTCCTTGAGTTTTTAGCATGGCTTTGTGTGTTAGGTGTCCTATAGGACCCAATGGCTCAGCCTCCCCAATCATCTGAGGTGGACACTCTTGGTGCAACCCTTTGTGGGCTGTGTGCACAGTCTTGTTGTAGTTGAGCCCTGATTGCTGTTGGTATCACTGGGAGGACTTGAACTCCAAGCCAATCGCTGTGAGAATCAACTGTGTCTATAATGGAAGAGCTGTTGTGCAGGAGACATCCTTATGGGACAGGACTTGCTTCAGTGGGGCTTTGATGCTCAGTGAGTTTGCCCCTTGAGTGTGTCACTTATGGATGTGAAGAGTTGTAATCTGGATGGTTTTACTCTGATCACTGGGTACACTGGCTCTTGGATCTCCAAGGAGGTGCAAAGTCAGCCACTGCCTGGGGCCCCCCACCAGGAGCTCCAGAGAGATCTGCAGATTCTTCTTCTTTGTATTGGGTTTGGAAGTGCCCAGACAAGGCCCAGCTGTGAAGCAAAGCAGGCTGCTGCTGATGCCAGCCTTGGGGGCCTTCTTTTGATAGCTTTTGGGCCCCCTGACCCAGCTGCAGCTTGTTTGACAGGTTTTAGGCTGAGAAAAGACAGGCCATTCATATGCAAAAAGCTGTTGCTCAAAGCTTGGGTGGGGTTGTAAATTGAGTAGGGCAGGGTCTCAGGGAATCTCCAGGGCAGAGCAAACAGCAATGGCTGCCAGTCAGCCCTGCACTGGGGAAGTCCCAGAGCAGGAACCCCATCTGGAAGAAAGCTGCCCCCACGTTCCTGCCCCAATGCCAGACAGTCCAGTTTCTCCCTGTATGTGTCTGGGTCCCCCAGAGTCTCACCCGGCACTGGAGCTCAGAGGAAGCAGGAGCTTGTACCTCTCTCCTGATTAAAAAAGTGGTGCACCCGTGTGCCAGCCTGTTCTGTGCCTCCACACCTCCTACCAGTCTCACGCACTTTCTTCTTTACCTCGTTAGTTGTAGTACTCAGCCAGCATTCCCGAAGTGAATCTGGATGATAGTTATGTATTTTAGTCGTAATTTTGATGTGGTTGAGGGAGGCAGAAGTACTAGTGTTTACCTATGCTGCATCTTGGTTCTTCCTAGTAAAGTTTATTTGACAGACCAGGCTTCCATTATCTTCTGACTTCTAAATAACACCTAACCTACAAATAAGAAAATTAAGCAAAATCCAGGCCCAGGGATTTCTGCTGATGCCTGGTCTTTCGAAGCCAACGGTGTTGTCAGTAAGAGGAGGGCAGGGTGCAGCTCCTGAGAACCAGTGCGGTGGCTGCGGCCTCTGGGCCCAGCCGTGCGGACCAGCCTTCCCAGCCTGTCGCTGTTGATCCCTCTGCAGCCATGATTGAGTGCATTGTTTTCTGGAAAATGCTGTTCTGGACGCATGAGATAGGCTTCCTGTTCTATGATAGATCTTGTCAGTGAACTGAAATATATTACAGGTGGAGTTTAAGAGTTTTCAGCGTAAGTTAGACTTCACCTGGGAAAATCACCTTCCTGTTCCTCTGCTTTCCCGTGAGCGGGTGAGCAGGTTCCCGGGGCGGGAGGCCTGCCTGCAGCGAGGCCCTGGCAGGAGGACGCGCACATGCGGATCGTGCTCTGACACCCCAGTGCCAGGCTGTGGGAGAGCTAACACCAGCTAAAGCTAATTAAAGTTTAATATGCTCAATGTCTGTAATTGTTACAGACAAAAAATCATTAAAGTGCTGTAGGAAACATAATCAATGGGTGCTCCCTCACTGAATTAACGCCGAGCCACAGTGCTGCTTACTTATGCGTGAGGTGCTGCCCTCAACTCCAGTTTCAGTAGGAGCTTCATTTTTCCTACTGGAAACACCAAGACGTGGCATTTAGCTGTAAAATAAATCCACGCCTGCCTTCGCCGTCACATGACCACGTGTTTACCCGGCGCTCGCTGCCCAGTCCTTTCTCAGCAGATGCCGGTTCCCCTCGGCGCATGCAGAGGCTCAGGGGGTGGCAACAGTCATGGCCTTTCTGCTTCTCTCTCCATCCTGTTCTGACCTGTTAAGAGACACTGAAAGTCGTATTCAAACTATAATTAGAAAAAAAGACCTTTTTTAGTTTCACATCCCACATGTTGTTTAAGTGGAGCTTAATGTAACTGTGGTGAATGCACAGAGGTCAGAGGTCAGAAGCGTGTTTGTGGGCTGTGCTCTTGCCTGTCCTGCCCATCACAGAACGTGTGCTGAATCACGCACACACAGCATCACTGCTGACGTGCAGTGTGGCAGGGCCTCACCCAGTGTTCCTGTCAAAGTGGGTCCCGGCTCCGGGTGTGTTCTCTGGTGGCGCCACGCTGGCCAGCGGGGCATAGGGCATCGTCTGTGTGGGTGGGTGGGAGTTGATGCAGATGACGTCACTACAGAGCCGGGGGAGCTGGGTCGTGTTCGGCATTTTAAAATTGGTTGAAGGCCACGCTGGCTGATGTCTTTTAGGAGCTGTACCCCGCCTTCTGCATTCACAACGGCGGCTCCGACCTGGAGCGGCTGCCCACCGCCAGCACCTGCATGAACCTGCTGAAGCTGCCCGAGTTCCAGGACGAGGCGCTGCTGCGCAGCAAGCTGCTCTACGCCATCGAGTGCGCCGCGGGCTTCGAGCTGAGCTGAGCCCGGCGCAGCGGCCTCTGCAGAGAACTGTGTCGCCGCCTCGTAAGTAGCCCCTCCCAGGCCCACGAGGACGCTCAGGCTGGCTCCCACTGCTCTCCTGCCCTCCGTTTTTTACATGGTTTCAGCCACTGTCACTTACTCAGATGGGCATTGCTTTTTAAGTAACTTAAATTTAAATAACATGTCATGTGCCATGCGGCTCATTCAGTAATTTTGCCAAGAACACAGTTTTAAGACAAGTGGCAACTCAGTGAAATTAACCAAAGATGCAGCTTTGGCGTTGTGACGGGTTCCAGGCTCCCTCTGCTGGGCCCCTGGGCTGTGAGTGCCCTCTGCTGGGCGCCCCTGGGCTGAGGGGCCCTGGGCAGGCCCCGGGCGCTGCTGCTGTTCACAGACTGTGGGTTGGGTGCCGACTCAGGGGCACTGCTTCTCGTGGGCTGAGCTGTTTACAAGCCTGATTGTTCAAACTCCTGCTGCCTTTCCCTGAGGGCGAGGGCTGGAGAAGAAACGCGTGGCGGTGGCGTCCTGTGCTCGCCAGGCCGTGGCTCCCACAGGTGCTGGGGCGCACCGTGGGCCTCCTCACTGGCCTGGCTGTTACTGTGGGGCGGGGAGGGCTCCGTCTTACCCATGTCTCCACTCTGTCTGGAGAGCTCTAGGGAGAGGGGTCTGTGACCACAGTAAGTGACAACGTGGGAGCAGACGCTGAGCTCGATCCAGTCACTTGAACCAAACACCTCGTCCGGGGGCAGCGGCGTTGCCCTGGATGTTGGGGTGACCTGCCACGCTTCTGCACCCTCCGCTTCCTCAATGGTGCTGCTTTGAAGGCGGGACAGTCCCCACACGCGCCTAGGGAGGAGTGCGGGCCATTTCCGCGCAATCGGCACTTTATCAGGACCCCATGGTTGCTGGCAGCGGCGGCGGTGAGAGCCGGGCCTCCTCGCCAGCGGCGGCAGCCTGGACTCGGCCCCGGCTCCAGCTCCGCTCCCCTCCGCGGCCCCGCTGGGCTCCGGGCTGACCCTCCAACTGACTCGATTAGCAATATCCTTCCACGTGCGGGACTGAATGACACTTTTAAGACAATGACCATTATCAAACATGTAATTTCTTAATTGGAATAATAAATTAAGTGTTAAATGCTATTTGTAGTCTTGATATACACAGAAATAAAATAATTAGGGTTTGTCCTTGTTGATTTTATTTTTATTGCAGGCTGTTTTGTGTCGTATGTTCTGTTTCCTTTTTGCTTACCAGTTAATTTGTGCATTTTATTTTCAGGATTTTGAAAATACCTGGGACTAAAATGAAATAGGCAATTATACTTATTTGATTTTTTTATTTTTTATTTTTTTCTCAGTGATCCTGAGCTTATTTGTCTGTATGTTCCAGTGGCTAAATATTTGCATTAAATGTTTTTTCCCAAGGTTGTGTTGGAGTCATACTCCAAATAGTTGTAGGTGGTTCTATCTGCCCTAGTAATACCACAGTTTCTGTTACCAGCGGGCGCACTGAGGGGGCTGGGCCAGGACTGTCAGCGGCCCCTCGTCCAGCAGCACCTACCCCCCACCCCGGCTCCTCTCTCCAGGCAGCACCCTCCACCCATCCATCCCCTCCTTCCCCCATCCCTCCCTGCCTCCTCTCCTGGGGCAGCACTCCTCCCCCAGCTCTCCCCCCGCCTCTTGGCAGCACCATGGTGCTGAGGAGAGTGAGTGTGAAGGGGTCGCTGCCCTCCGGAGGGTGCCTTCTGTGCTGCTCACTCTCGCTGCTGGTGGTGCTGTGCTCAAAGCCTGGGCCAAGGGAAGGAGGCGCTCCGGTGTCACACACGCTGTGCTCTCACATGGGTGTTTGCTGGGTGTCCTCGGTGCTTGGCATTCTCTCCCCAAGAGCTGCCCATGACTGGCTGCAGGCCTGGCAGCCACAGCCTGGACCATGGGCCGCCCAGCGGGGCGTCCTGAGGGGATGAGGCGGGCACAATAGCTTGGAAGCTGCTAAGATTAAAGAAAGACAAACATGGGGGTGAGGCCTGTGCTGTAAGGTTCCCCGTAAACGCTTGGGAAGATGTACTAGTTAGTCCTCCCGGTTGTGGGCGTTGCCTGCTGCCCTCCCTCCGCCCTCACCAGCAGCTTCAGCCCCACCAGCTGCGTCCCCAGGTGAGTCAGGCGGCAGGTCCGGCTCGCCCACTGTCTGCCGGCCCCAGCTGGAAGCTTCCTCCACGGACTGCACAGTCCCTACAGGGTCTGTGCCCAGGGCTGCCCATCACCTGGGATCCTCTTTGAGCCCGGGCTCTTCTGACCAAGCCAAGGCTCACAGGTGTCTTCCAGCTACTCCGTGAGTGACACAAACCAAACCATTGTGGGACCCTTGGAACTCCCCACGGTATCAGCCGTGACCCATGGGCCAGGCTCTGGGGCCCGGCATGGCCTGTGCTGGTGGGGGTTGTGCTGGGAGCCGTGGTGCTCTCTCTCCTCATTGCACTTGCTGACAAATGCCTCCTGAGGGGATGAAGGCGGGCACAATAGCATGTAAGCTGCTAAGACTAAAGAAAGACAAACATGGGGGGTGATCAGGCTGGCAGGCAGAAGCGGTCAGGGGCAATCAGGAAGGCAGGCAGGCGCAAATACCGCATCAGCTACCAGCACCGCCCACTGCCCAGGACAAGGAAGGGGATCTGTCCGGAGGCCAGTGAAGATGATGATGATAGCAGGCACCATTTCTCCCTCTGAACCCTGACCTTTGGACACCCCTTGCCTGACAGCTTAAGAATTGTATGTACTATAATACAATGAACCTCAGGGATGGTGGTGGCTAGGATTTAAGGGCTGACAGGGATTGAGCAATTCTTCCATCCCTGACACTAGCCACCAAAGTGACAGTGACCCTCTCTTGCTCAATAACTCAATGACTCCCTGCTATTCTCAGGACCTAACTATGGAAGTGAGGCCTCTGTCAGCCTCTTGGTTTGCATTCTTCCTACTTAACTAGTTATTATACTAGAGGCTCTGTGCACAAAATTCACGCATGGGGGTGGGGGGAGCGGTTGTCCCTCAGCCTCTTCAATCTGGGACCCCTAGAGGGATGTCCGACTACCATCTCACAATCCAGGACTGCTGGCTCCCAACTGCTCGCCTGCCTGCCTTCCTGATTGCCCCTTACCGCTTCTGCCTGCTAGCCTAATCACCCCCTAACCTCTCCCATGCCAGCCTGATTGATGTCTAACGGCTCCCCAGCCAGCCCGTTTGCCCCCAACTTCCTTCTGCAGGCCTGGTCACCCCTAACTGTCCTCCCTTGCAGGCCTGGTCCCTCTCAACTGCCCTCCCTTGCAGGCCTGGTTGCTCCAACTGCTCTCCCTTGCTGGCCATCTTGTGTCCACATAAGGGCAGGATCTTTGACCACAAAGGGGCAGCCATATTGTGTGTGGGAGTGATGATGATCAATCTACATATTACTCTTTTATTAGATAGGATAGAAACTGTGCGGGGGTGGGGGCCAGTTGGTTTGCCCTGAAGGGTGTCCCGGATCAGGGTGGGGTTTCCTTGGGGCGTGGGGCAGCCTGAGCCAGGGACCTGTGGTGGTTTGCAGGCCGGCCACACCCCCCAGCAACCCAAGCAGACGGAGGCCCTGTATCTGGGATTTATTTATCTTCTACAATTGGAACTTTGTAGCCTGGAGTGGGGCCAACCCTCCTGCTCACTCAGTGGTTGCAGCCACCGTTTCTGTTTGAATTTGTTTACTTTCTATAATTGAAACTTTGTAGCCTTGAGTGGAGGCTTAGGCCCAAGAGCAGGCAGAAAGCTTGGCTTCCTCCTTTGCTGGGAAACGCCTCCCTCCTGCTCTGTGGCTGTAGCCAACTTGGTTGGGTTTATTTGCATACTCACTCTGATTGGCTGGTGGGCATGGCTTGTGGAGCAGAGTGGTGGTTAATTTGCATATTATTCTTTTATTAGGTAAGATACCAGTTAATAGCATTTAGCAGATGAAAATCAGTATGCCAAGTTTCTTATTGAATTTTTTTCCTATCAGTAAAGTGGGTAATCTAAATAGTTATATTCTGTTTTTGACAGGTGTTAATAAATCTATTTTTATTTCAAATTTTAACAAAAGACAAACAACTGTCAAATTACAGTGGGGAGGGGAGTGAGATCTGGGGAAGATAAGAGATCAACCGAAGGGCTTGTACACATGCATATAAGTACACCCAATGGACACAAAACTCTGGGGAGGGAGGGCATGTATGGGGGGGGGGCTGGCAATGGTATATGTACACAGATAATAATTTAATAAAAAATAAATTAAAAAAAAAAAAGACAAACCGCTAACAGCACATAGGAATGCAAATAAAATAGGAACTTAGGCTTAGGTAAGAGCCTCAAATAAGCTAACCACAGCTCATGGCCAATTTCCTACAGCCAGATCCCCAAAAACAAAACTAAAACTCACCCACCGGGTCAGAGAGTTACAATAGCTTGGTGACCGTGTGTCTGGAGATGGAGGAGGGGACTAGGCTGGCTGCAGGCGAGGCTCCTGTGTGTCTGCTTCCAGAAGGTTCTGGGGGCCAGTGAGAAGCCCAAGCACGTGGTGCCTGTGCTTACACATCTGTGAAGTGGGGCCCCTAGATAGTCGGTCTTCACAGGATGTCCTTACCGTGTGGTTTGAGTCACTGCAGCTCTGAAATCCCACCCATGCCCCCGGGCGCAACACCCTTCCCTCACAAAGCCAGGAGGGACCCCGCCCTTGGTGCTCCCCTCTCCGCACCCCAGTGTTTCAGAGCGGGGTTCGCTGTTCCTGGGGGACCGAACTGCGTCAGTGGCCTGTGTGTCGTGTGTAACCCACCTAGTGGCTGCTTGACACCCCCACCCGCCCACCGGCTCTGCACCCAGCCCGGCCTCCCTGGAAGAGTGCGTCCTCAGCCCCCGCCCTGTGGGCAGAGCCTGCGCCTCGCAGAGCAGGACCCCAGCCCGACCCCTTGCTGACAGGCCTCTGCTTCCTGGACTCCCCGGGCCCAGGCTGTCCAGGCCCTTCCAGGTCGGGGTCGACTCTTTGTGCCCGTCCCAGCACCCCGCCCTTCCTTGCCCATAGCGTCTGGGCACCATCTGGCTGGTGTATGTGTTTCACGGAGTCCTCCCACCTGCACTAGGACCGGAGTGTCACTCAGGCACAAGCTTCTCAGCGGCCGCTGTCACCAAGCCCCGGGCCTGCTGCCAGCGCTCAGGCTCCACGGCTCCTGGCTCAGGGTCTGCTCCACAGGAAGGTCCCTGACTGGGCACCGCGCCCGAGCACCTTGTGCTCCCAGATCCCGTGTCACGTCGGCAGGCCCGGGCCCGATGCCTCGGCAGGCCCAGGCTGCACGGGCTCGGCAGCGGACACACGGAAGGTGGACGGCGCTCCACAGGCTTTTCCACGAAGAGGGCAGCGCCTGCAGCACGGGGCCGCAGGTCGGGGCGCTGAGCGCTGGCCTGCACTGACTCTCCCGGAGGACAGGTGGTGGGCGCGTGGGGAGGAAACCCCGCAGAGTAAGAACGAGAAACGTTTGTTACATTCGTGTGAATCAAGCAGATGACGGCACTGTTTTTCCACCGCAGGCCACTGCCCAGACTGTCTGGTAGGGTGGCCGGGGGCGCCATGCACAAGGCGGCCGACCAGCAGAGCCAGACGCAGGGCTCCCTCTGCGGACCTAACAGCATCTTCCACTGGGGTCACTGAGGAGAGGGGGTCCCGGCAATGGGAGCGTGGTGGAGTCTGAGAGGAGCGCACGGGCGCCTTGGCGGAGGTTCGGAGCTGCCAGGTGTCCCAAGGCCACGGCCTCTGAGGCTGGGAGACCAGCCAGGTCCTGAGCGAGGGCGCTGCAGAGCCTCCGGAAACAGCCCCCACCGGAGGCGCAGAGGAAGGAGGCAGCAGGACGGAACGCTGGGGAGATGGGGGAGATGCCCTCCTCACCCTGAGGGCCAGTCGTGGGCCCCAGCACCAGTGCTCAGTGAATGTCTCAGGTTAGGAGAACGACCACCTACAGACCTCCTGTGGGGTCGCCTCTGGTCACAGCCCACGGCCTGTTCGCTCAGGCCTTGAGCCCAGCCAGGGAGGCCTGAGAGCCCTGACCAGTGGCGGGGTGAGCTGCCCTGAGACTGGGTGCTGGGAGCTCGGTCGTGGGCTGAGGGAAACGAACCGGAGCCTGGTGGTGGAGCAGGTGTGTCTTTGGGGCCATGGGGTTGGGTTACATCCACGAAACACTCGGAATCCACCCCTAGGTCAGGCCCGCGGGTGGGACCCAGCCACCAGCACAGGACAGGATGGGAGGGTGGCGAGCTGTCGGGGCGCCTGCAGATGAGAGAAGCTGCTGGAGGGCCTGGGGCGCCGCAGACAGCTTTTATCCCAGAAGTGGTGCCTGCAGGGATGCGGCAGGGCTGCCCTGGAGCATGCAGGCAGCAGTGTTCACGTGAGAACCACCATGAGCAAGGGCCGTGACAGGGACTCCCCAGCCGTCTGCACCAGAGACTGAGGCTGCACACAGGCCACATGCCCCCAACACACACCCCACCCCCACAATGCACATGCATACACATGTGCCCCCAAATGAACATATACATTCATAGACACACCATCACATACACACGCCTCAGACGCACTTCAGCAAGTGTGCACACACTTGCTCCCCTGTGCACTGCCGAGCCCTCTGGACGCACTGACCGGAGTGACAGACGGACTTGTCAGAGGTGCAGATGGGGTGGCGGTGAGTGCAGGGACCCAGACCTGCAGACCCAGGCAGGCGGCAGGTGCAGGTGGAGCCTGGGGGAGGGGTGACTGTGGACAGGCGGCAGCGGGGCTCATTCCTGGGACCCAGGAGGAGAGAAACGGATGGGGACCCAGGACACAGGGCCAGCGTGGCTTCACCGAGACATGCAAAGTGCAGCCCTCCCTTTACACGTGAGGTCACCTGCAGGGCCACCAGCCCTCCTAGCTTCACGCTCAGGGGCCCCGCCACAGGCGCCGAGTCTGCTGGGATGCTGGGACAGAGCCAAGGCGGGTGGGGGAGGCACGCCTCGGGGCCGCCCTGTCCTGCAGCTGCGCTCTTCCCGGAGCCCGCCTATCGCCATGGCGCTGTAGCTGGAACCACGGGCTCAGAGCCGAGAACACCAAGTGTTTCCCCTCAACGGACCCACCGGCCAGAGCCCGGCCCGCTTCCTCTGGGGCTGGGGAAGCCAGTCATCCGGCCCCTCGGCCCTGGGTCTGCGCTTGTGGCCGCACCTGCCTCTGCCCCTCTGTCCTGTCTCCCTCTGCTTTCTCTCCAGGGCCCCGTGATCATCTTATCCCAATGCCCCCAGCTCCACCGCGGGGGGCGCCGTCACATAGGGGGTGGGGGCCATCCTTGGGCTCCAGGCTGCAGGCGGCATTGCTTGCATGAGAGCCACCGTGGGAAGGAGAAGCCAGACTGGCACCGCTGTCCACAGCAGGTCCCCACACCCCTTACAGTGTTTTGGTGTCTCGACACTCAGTGGCTTTAACTTTTAAATCATGCCAGCACCTCACGCCTTGTGGGACTCCTTTTCCCCGGTTATAAAATGAATCTGCACCAACATGGAGGTCAACGATGCTTCCCAAACTAACACTTAGAGGGGCAGGCGCTCAGGAGGCGAAGACCCCACGGTGCCCAGCCGGAGGGCGGTGCAGGCGCTCACTACTCAGTGCTCACTGCTCAGTGCTCAGTGCTCACTGCTCACTGCTCACTGCTCAGTGCTCAGTACAGTGCTCACTGCTCACTGCTCAGTGCTCACTGCTCAGTGCTCAGTGCTCAGTGCTCACTGCTGAGCAAACCGAGGCACAGAGAGCAATGACCCGTGAGCCCGGGAACAGGAGCTCTGCGGTGCGCACTCAGTGGAGCCAGCAGCATGGGCACAGCTGCCCAGGCCACTCTGGGTGCCTGTCAGGTGGGCATCTGGCGGCCGCCTCCAGTGCTTTAGGGACTTGGGAACCAGGTACCTCGGCTACTCCTGGTGGGGCTGGAGGCGGCCTCCCAGGCCCGCAGGGGCCGGTGTCCCTCAGTCTGATTCTGAGGCACCCGCCCGGCACTCCCCAGCCCAGGCGCCGGGCATCTCCACTGTCTGGGCAGAGTCCGCGATGCCACATCCCCTGCCCACTCCCAGGCTTCCTTCCAGACAGAGGCCCTGATGGGCGTGGCCCGGGCACATCAGGAGACACTGTGGGTGTTCCCGGCGGAGGCCAGCCCCGGGCACGCAGGAGGAAACGGGTGCTGTGCTTCTCCGAAGAGCAGGGCTCGCCCACTGCCCTGGGCTGGGACTGCGCTCAGTTCCCACGGTTCGGTTCCTGAGGCTGAGCTTGGGTGGCTGCCTCCTGAGACGCTTCATCCTGGGCCTCGGCAACCCTGCTGCTCCCACGCCCCGAACCCCGGGCCTCAGCGGCCCTTGCCGCGTGTGTGTGTGCGCGCGCGCGTGCACACACACACACACACACACACACACACACGCACACGCACACGCCCCTGGGTCCCGGCCTCAGTGCCCCACGGCACCCCCACACCACATTGGGCCGGAGTCTCCTCTCGGGTGCAGAAACAGCCCGTCTCATGAACAGGGACTAAAACGCAGCTGATCCTTCCGTGATTTAAGGTGTGGCTTCAGGGCTCTCCTCCCTCGCAAAGCCGTGGGCCGTGTGAGGACGCTGCTGTCTGTGCCACAGCCAGTGGGCCAGGACGGGGCACAGTGGTCGGTCAGGGCCACCCAGGCCCAAGGACCTGAGCCAGTGAGATGGAGATTCCAGGCAAACACATTAGCCCAGGTGCATTGCCTGAATCCCCCCTCACCTCGTCCTGTATTTGACCTGGAGGCAAAGCAGGGGCACAGCAAGGACACTCAGTCCCGCCTGCAGCCGAGGCCAGGCCAGGGCCAGCATGGGGCAGCAGATGGCCAGCTGTCCCTGCACACAGGGTGTGGGCTGCCATGTCCTGCCTGTGTGCGGAGCACCGTGCCCGCTACAGAGGCCTCGGAGCTGCTCAGAGGGCGATGCCAGTCCTCGGGGAGCACACGCCAGGGTCCCAGACGGCTCCTGGCAGAGCCCTCCTGGGGCTAGGAGGAGGATGGG